CAGAATTATCAATCCCTCCAATATAATTCTATGAATCATCATCCACCCCAAACATCTTTCGATCCCTTTAAGAATCCCGAAATTTCATAATCTCTTCAGAAACACTGTTACATCTATTTCCAAGCCAAACTTAGATCGTATTCCCACCACTACTATCTCCCAACTTACGAGATCTCGCTTCACGCTTCTAGGGCTGAACACCATTATCCGCCTGTGCTTCTTGATGAGTTTGCTGAGCCTCTGCGTTCTTTGGGCGCATGTCAAAGGTTTGCCGGACACGTGAAAGTCGTCCTGCATCTCGTCCTCGAGATCCTCCGGCTCGCTTTTCTCTCGAGGCGGACTCTGCCTCGGGGTCACGGTGCTCAGAGGCACCACCCTCGCGATCAAACTTTCGCTTCTCACGCTCCACGTGGACGCCCCGTACTTCTTCATGTTCATCAGATCCCCTATGCTGCCCCTCACGTATAGATTCCCCGATTGAAGATTCGTTCTCGACAAGGCGGGCGAGTGTGGAAGGGACTCGGAGCATTTCTCCGTCGATCTGGCCACATCCGGTTTATTTTGGAGCTTGTCCAGATCCGACAACGAGGATCCACGACGTATTCTGGGCTTCAATAATTCGTTCTTCTTCGCCACCCGCTCTTTCTCCCGGTTCACGCTCCTCGAGGACAGGGAGGACTTCATCGCGAACAGACCCGCCTTCAGTGGGAAAAGAAGAGCCCATTCCGTTGACTTCTCTCGAGACTCCATTTTTTTTTTATTTATCTTTTGCTTCCTCTCCTTCTCTTCTTTCTTTTATATATTATCGAAAAGTATCGACTTAGATTCTTAAATATCGATTATTCTTGATCTATCAAAAAAATGAGTCTCCTCTCTCCCCTTGATGTAAAAAAGTTTCAACTTTTTTCAATTTTATATTCGATATATATATATGTATAAAAATACGTAAAAATGTACGTATAACAACAATAGACGTATCAAATAGACGTGTAATAATAGGGGAAAAAAGAGGAGTAAGGATCGAATGGCACGCGATATTCACGCGATCATTTTCAGCACTGCTCCAACTCCTGATTGCCGGTAGGATATCATTAGCCAGGCGATATACCGGCATCCGGGCTTGCCGTTGAACCCCTTCCGGTCGTCCCGTTATCAAGCTTCGGAAGTTGGAATTTGTAGGACGCGTTCCGCATTCCGAGCAACCGATCGCTCGATAATTCTCCAACGAGAGCACGACTCCTTCGAGCGTTCGACGAGCAACACTTGACGAGCACACTTTGATAATTTCCAATAACAGTTCGCGACCACGAACAATCCGAATGAATGATATCGAAGAAAAATGTTATCCCTTTCTTCCATTCTTCTTCCACCACACTGTCGCTGATTATTATCAACAAACAATTTTTTCAAAAGTTTATCAAGTTTCGCAACGGTAATAAAAATCGTGGAACGGAGGCGTGGATGGGAGCATCTTGTTCCTAAGAGCACCGCGATCAGACTCCCCGACAGATCGTGCAGGGAATTAAGGCGAAGGGGGTGGTCAGCCCCTGATCGGACCTCTTGGCGATATTTTCACTTAAGTTAACACGACCCCCCGTGCGGATGTCCCCTTTGCCATCGCCGATACTTCCTTTCTAATAAAAGCCTAATAACGATCGATAACTCGCCATTCGACGAGCTCTCTTCCTCTCCCGTCGTCGTCGTCGTCGTCGTCGTCGTCGATTCCCTCGGATTCCCTTTCCCACTGTTGCTCGGCAAAATAAGAAAAATCTTCTCCAATTTTTTCCACTCCAACGATTCAGGCGAGGATGAAGACCGGTCCTGCCTGATCATCGTACCGTCGACTAATACGAAAAGGATACGAAGCTGGTTGACGAGTGGC